TAAAAACATTGTTTACTGTCAATCCCAAAGCCTCTACTATTTACTGTTCTGTCTCCAAAGTCAGATTTAGAGAGGAACTCTGCTCTCGCTCAGAGGTAACGGATGTCGTTTGAGAGGTTTACTACTCTGTTAGAAACAAGACTGTTTCTGTGGTGCTATAAACACTGCCATAAAGGGACCAGTGAGGCCGACCTCTGTAAAGTCCATAAAAAGATCTTTGTCTCTGATAATGTGTTATAGTTAGAGTAGAAGATGCATTGAGCCGTGATGTCATGGTGCTGGAGAGCTCTAAATGGAAGTGATTCAAATTCTTTGCTAAGTTTCTCTAACACCACGAGTCTGCATGTTGCCAGTGGAAGAGGTCCTCTAACACCCCTAGTCTGCATGTTGCCAGTGGAAGAGGTCATTTGCTTTGATTATCTTTGTTAATAGTATTGTTTGTTTGTTTAACTAACAAAAATTGCCTGTATTAAAAGAGCTTATTACCTTCATTACCTAATCTTCAATAATGAATCTCCAGTCATTTTATCTTATCAAAGCATTATTCAGTGCAATAAACCATCATGCTACAAAATACCAGTCTGATTAAACTGAAAAAAATCAATGCAATAGAAGAAATTCAAATTACTGTAGCAAAGGTGTGCATGGAAACATAAAGGAACAAATTAACCAGAAGTAGCGAGTGATGCTTCTGAGTAGAGGAAGACTCGCTCCCCTCTCTCCAACACTGAGACAAGTTTGCCAGCCTTCGATACACTCCTAGTAATATGTTGCTTCTCATAGCACCAGACCCGATGATCCCTAATTGCCATGATTGAAATTAAGATCAGGAAGCAAGCAGGAGGAAGAATACAGGAAAGTAATACTGCAGCAACTAGGCAAGAGCAGAAAAGATGCCAGGGGAGGCTATACAAATACACTGAGCTTGATATGATACCGTACTTACAATTATGATTACCAAGGAAGATCATTTTGTTTTATATTTCTAATATAGTCATTGATAACTTGCTGAAGCTCTCACACCAGGAAGCCTTCTTTTCCTCTATCCGTAATTGAGCAAACACCCTTCTCAACACTTCAGCATATACATGTTGGAGAGGCCCACTAATCCTCAAGTGCAAACCAGACTTAGCACTCACTGCTTTCAGCTAATGAAGAGAAGGAAGATGGCTGATGAGTAAGAGAGACGGGCTGAAAGGGAGAGGAGAGGAGGGCTTTTCATTTGGAGTGTTTGAGAGCGTTGTTTCTGATTACATGTGAAACTATTAAGCGTGGGTTTCAGAGTGCCACCGCTGTTGGTTTTTTAAGAGCAGTTGAAGACGAGGTGTGACTTTTCATCATCTCAAATGCCTTTGCATATGGCATTACAACCAGAAGTATGAAATGGGTGAGAGCACAGACTAGTGTTGCCTGCCCAGCCACAGACATGAGCTGCAGCTCACCCGTACCAGTGTATCTTTGTGTCTCAGTGATAGTGACAACCTTTCTTGTTTTGTTTGAAAGTGAACATGAATATCATGCTGTATGAACAAGGAGAATAGGGCTGTAATTTTTGCCTGGAGGATTATGATGAATATTGTTATGTAATGAGAAAGAAAAGGAGACTAGACACTACTGTTTTGCCAATATGCAACATACTGTATGTGTGGACAAGATGTGTTCTGTGTCAGCAGAGACAAAAAGCAATAATCGTTTTATTTTTTATTGGTTTATAGTTTTCATAGATGGGACACTGAGCAGGGTAATATTTGTGTGGAATGAAACAGAAAATAGGGTATGGCTTCCATTTTTCCCCTCCACCATATGCAATAAGTTTCAGGCTGCATCTCGCACATAACGCCACCATCTCTGCAATGATTTCTCATCCTTTGCATCGCCCCCTCACCACGCTGCCTTTGATTTCAAGAGCTGAACTATTCTGCAACATTTGTTGATGTGGTTCTGCAAGTAAATGCTGCAGAATTGTGCTCCTCTTGGAATTGTTCTTCTTCGCAGACCACCAGGAAAGGAACCCACTATCAGCGGCTATACACCACAAAGAGCCAGGGAGTTTCCTTCACTCATGTACACAAACACAAAGCACACATCCAGATGCTAGTAACGGTTATAAATGCACTGTGTTACACTGAGAAAGCCTGGAAAGCATCCAATAGAAAAGGTTTGATGAAGCCTGAGCAGATCATGTGCCTTTCAAAATTGAAGATGCAATGATTGTAAAAGGAAACATTTTATATTTACACATATGATTAATTTTTGTACATTTTTATGGTTTTCATAAATTGCTGCAGCCAAGAAATGGCAGGAAGTGAGAAGGGAGAGAGACGGGGAATGATATTTACAGAACGTTGTCGACTAGATGTGAACTTGGATGATGATGTTTGCCACCGTAACCCCTAAGCCACCAGGGTGCCCCCATTAAATTAACTATTGTTTTAGCTGTTTTCACTTAAGCATTATTCAGAAACTGATGAGGTTTAGAAAACATATTTCCAGATCCAGAGGTTTTTTACAGTTTAAAAATCTAATTTGACTATCCAGTGAGAGAGGTTTTTTAAATGTTGGTACTGAGCATATTAATACCAATGTACTGTAGGACATTGTTGTTTATCTTCTGTTAAAGGAGAAATCAAATTGAAAAAAGTAAATATGTCTTTTGGGTGTGGAGGCTGGCTATTTAAAATTTGGTTAATGTTGATCACATTCTTGTTTTTGATCGGGAAAAGCTTGTGGTTATGGTAAATATAATGTATGTAACACATTTTTACCAGTTCTATACACTTAGTGTATATGTCAGGTATGGTTAGGATCAGGACAGTAAAATTATTGGTTACGGTTGAGGAAAGATTGTGGTTATAGATAAAACTTCACAGCAGTTGATTCTGCCTAAGGCTCACAACTTTAATGAACTCGCTTTAAATGTTGGTACTGAGCAAGTCATGACATGTGGAAGTTGTCCACTGTGGACATAATTCCCAGGGATGCTGGGCTGACAAATTTTCATAGGATGCAAACCAGTTGTCACTGCTTGACTAACCAATATGTTTATCTAACCAACCAGAGCAGCACACTGGGCAGAAGTTCCAGTAGCGGGTTATTCAGTACATACTGTATATAGACAGGCAGAGGGCACACACACAGGTCTGCTCCCCATGCATGATCTGTCTGCCAGTTGCTCTGCTGCTGTTCAGGTCCAGTGAATACAAAGCAGCGGGCCTCACCAACCAGTCTGCTGCCTCTGCTCTGAGCTGTGAGCTTGTTCTGGATGACTTTCAGAACTCATTAACCTTGAACTGAGGGATGAGAATTAGTTCAGAGCCCCAAAGGTCAGGGGGTCAGTCTACTATTCTCTCACCCCCTGGTCTGCTCTAGCCTACTTGCATCACAGGTGTGTATACGTACTGTAGTTTATAATATGTCCCAATCTTGACGCACTGCTACATTCAAGTGTCAACTGGAAGGAAGCCTCACAACAGGTTCTTCAGCTAGTTTAGTTTGTATTTGTAATGTAATAACAATATCTATACTTTAATGATGCACAGTTTTCTGACATTGCTGATTATGCATTGTTGTATGCAATATCTGCTGAGACAGTGTCCTCACTCAGCAGCTGAGGTTCTCTTCCCTCTGTGTTTCCACATGTTTATTTCACAGTGATCATCTCATACTACTGTCTGATAGGCAAACATACAGGACAATGCCTCAGTATCAGCACAGCCTTACTGCACATAATGCAGATAAGAGCTCTCTCTCATTATTTTTACATAAGATACTTAATCATTCATGTGTATTTATACAGTTGTTGTTATAAGACTTTGCATTTTGAGGGAAGAACTTTAGTTAATCCATTTTACATATTTCTTTTAAATAAATTCACTCCTAATATGGGCTTCACAGAAATGTTAACATATTTAACATACATTGTAAATTTCCACTGAACTTTAGGTTTACTCCTGCCCTACCCATCCACTGTGATGTTTGGTGTTGGCTCTCATATTCACTGGTCTAGTTTAGTCACGAGTGTTTTTGTGTGTGCATACCAGCATGTGTGTGCTGACCTTTTTACTACCGTGTGTGTGTCCATCCACATGTGATGCATGGTCAGCCACTGTACAGCACCACTGTGGCCTTGGAACAGAGTGTGGCCAGACAGATTGCAGCCAGAAGCTATAAGATCTGAACAGGAATATCCCCTCTGTTCAGCGAAGGTCGGACAGAGGCATCATTAGGTTGACAGAGTCTAAAACTGGGTCTAGTGGGGTGGGGAAACTGACTGACGGTTTTTGACTCAAGGACACATCAGTATCAGAGGTTAATGATAGAGGTGGCCTACACATGAGGGGATGCAGCTTATATTGATACAGATAGCCTCTGTGTGTGTCTGTGTGCTGTATGCATGCATATGTCACGTTATTAAAAGCTAATATTAACCCATCTTTTTCATTCAGTAAAAGGGAAGACAAATACATGTGACGTTTTGCATTACAACTGCTTTGATCCCATAATTTGTTTTTGTTTAAGCAACAGTTTGCATGATTATCTGTCTCTTTGAGTGTCTGTTAGGTCTCGCTGTTTTCATGTAAAGTGAAAATTGTGCTTTATAATACTTAAAGTTGCATTTTGTTGAATCCTTGCTACATCAGCTATCATATTTGGAAAAATAATTCATGAATCACTTAAAAGTCCTTAATGCGCTAGGACATGAATTTCTGATAAAAACAGGAAATGGGTAACATAACCGATAATGCTAAATTCATGTTAATTATTGACAGACACTGGACAACTCCCAGTGCCCCTTGTTTATTGATGTTATAGATGTGGCTGTCGAAACATATTTTGCTTAGACATATATATTTTTTTAAATTTCTTTCAAGAAACAATATGTTCTCATGCATAAAGAAACTACCAAAACACAATGATTCCATATGATATTTTAACCTATGTCCATAACATGGTCTGGCTTTGCTCTCATATCTTTTCATAAATCTTTCTTTGACCCCTAGCGTGCCACCCTGGCTTCTACAAGGCATATGCTGGAAACATCAAGTGTTCAAAGTGCCCTCTACATAGTTTCAGCTATGGAGAAGGTGCTGCTATCTGCCGCTGTGAGAAGAGCTTTTTCAGGGCTGAGAAAGATCCTCCAACTATGGCTTGTACACGTAAGTATACCACCAAGAATGACATACAGTATTATTCATTAGACACATACATATAGATTTAAACAGCTTTTAGTCATTCTGAACCCAATCAGAGTCACTGGAGAACTTTATTCCTCGCTGCCATTTATATGTCTGACCATGACTCAGTTGAATGAGAACAACCAATGATACCAGTCAAAAATATTATTTGGTAGATGGAGAAAACTGTGAATTCATGTTGGAGATTTATAGGCTCATGTATGTCCAACAATCCGGGTAAGCTGTTGCTTTGTCTTTAGAGCTGGTGGATTACTCCAGTGGTCTCTCAGAATTTGCTGTGGTCATAATTTGAGTGTCGTCTCCAGAACTTATCTGGTGTGAAACTGTGCAATAGTGAGTCTCTGGATAAATTACATGGCTTCTGCTCAGCTGCCTCGTCTTCAATGATAATTCACTGACTGTCATTACGACTTCATATTTCCATTAAATTACAGTTTAACTGGACTAATTCTCTTATAATTAAAAAGCCATTTAGCTGTCACTGAGACAGACGGAGGCCATGTCTTTGAGTCTCTCCAGGGTGGAAGACTGTATTTGCCTTAAACAGCCAGACAAAGTCATTGTGGGGATGCTGTGAGGTTAACATTGCCCTGGAAGATACACAGTTTGCAAAAGAAATTTTCAGAAAGGCTTGGCTCTTTATTTCTAAATTTAGAAGTGATGATGCAACACCTATACCAGCAGATTTTTCAGTGCAAAGTCTGTTAATGTTGGACAGCTACTGGCAATCTTGCCTTTCCACAAACTCTAAAAATAAAGTCCTAAACAAACCAGTTTAGATTTGCTCAACTACAAAAACATAAAACATAATGAAGAACACTGTTTCTGATATTAACCAAGACCAGCCAGAAGGTGTGACCATTGAATGTGGGTGGGTAATTTAACTTTTTGTGGTAAATATTGAGTTTGGGAGATTTACTAAGATGCTTAAATCTGAAAAATTACACCAATGTGCACTTCAGAAAACTAGACCAAGCTCAGTATCCAAAGCTGTAGAGCTTTTCAACAGTTATTGTTAGTTGTTGAACATAATCTGCTTGTCATAACTAAATTCCAAATCAGCTAAAGCCACTTTTGCTTTCTGTACAAACAAACAGTGTAACTATAAAAGTTGTGGGGGGTGACAACCTAGCAAACTAAGAGGAGTGGACTAACACCTCTGCCTTTACGAGCTCAGCGTTTACTCATATAATGTGCTTTTATCACGCGCTTGTAGGACAGGGCTTTAACGATTAGCTTGATGTCTAAGGCAATAGAGAAATGGAGATTAAAGAGGAAAGCAAAGATAAAGAACAAGAAAGGGGGATGACACCAAAGAGAGATTGTGTGAAGAAAGTGTGAAGGCTGGATGGCGTAGACAGTGAAGAGAGAAACGGAAGGAGGGTAGTGATACCAATCTCCCCCCTAGAGGAGAATAGGAACTGATTGATGGCAGTGGGGTTTCGCTACAGGAGGGAAGGTGGGTGGATTTTCCTCGATGGGTAGAATAGAGGAGGTGAGATAATGGCTGATAGAGGCAGAAAGAGATAAAGAGAGAGAGAATGGACATACACTGACAGATGTGGAGGAGGGGCAGGAGGAGCCTTGCTGTCTGCTGAGATTTTTAGCAAAGACAGGGAGGGAGAGAGATGGAGGGATGGTTGGGGGTGAGGGAAACATCCCATTGTTTAGGCAGACAGTGAGCTTGGCAGAACGAGAGTGTTCAAATCCCTCAGGCCTTTTAACTCCACCCTGTTGACAGCTGGCTGCCTGCTATAGCACAGTACTTACCCTTACATAGAAACACACAAATCCAGAGAGCACCAAAGTACCTCACCAATATGAAATGTAAAGGAGGTGAAACAACATAAAATGTAACTGCATGGCAGAGGAATGCCCTATGGAGAGTTTGTGGTACAGCAAAAATATGTGATATTTAACCATACCAAATATATATTGCAAAGTGCCTGTGTGAAATATAGTAAATATAGTTATTAAATCTATACAGATTCTTTATGGCCTAACACTGTTGATATTTGAGTGGAACATTAGATTACTGCAATTTGGCTGTGGTGTACCTCAGGGCTCAGTTTTGGGTCCTGTTCTCTCTGCATGTGCTTCCTCCAGTTCCAGTGATTTGTACCTTCCCTGCGTCATAGTACTATAGATGTTTCAATTACAGGATGAACGCATTGAAACACAAACATTGCTTTGAATTATTTATAGAATTATTATAGAAGATTATATGAAGACATTAGCCCTTAGCCTTTAGAATGTTTTACAGTACCTATTTTATTTTATTTTTTTTCCTGATAGGCCCCCCATCTCCACCTCGTAACTTAATGTTTAACCTGAACGACACCTGTCTGATGCTGGAGTGGTTGCCTCCCAGTGACAACGGCGGCCGTCGAGATGTCACCTATAATGTTCAGTGCAAACGCTGTGGCCCTGAGCCTGATCAGTGCCAGCTGTGTGAGGAGGAGCTTCGTTTTCTGCCGCGACCATTAGGCCTGACCAATGCCACTGTCACTGTCATGGACTTCTCGGCACATGCCAACTACACCTTTGAGATTGAGTCACTCAATGGTGTGTCAGACATGAGCACCTTCCCTCGCCAGGCAGCTATCATCACCGTCAGCACTGATCAGGGTGGTGAGTATGTATTATTTGAATTTTACTCGATGTTGGGAGTTACTTATATGATGTGTGACTTGTACTGCAACACTTTGATCTTGTGGTGCTGTAAAAATAGATTTATATAAAAAGTCCAGGTCAGGTCATCATCACGTTGGCATGGATTAATATACCAAGGGGAGCACATAGATACATGACTACCTCTCCATCATTTAGTCTCATATGTTATTAGAATAAATTAAATTCTAATGAGATTTTAGTGAAATTTCATGGTAGTTAGGGCAGGAGCCTAGGAGCACATTAGCTTTTGGCAGGAGCAGAGTCTCCATATGTTAAAATGTTGTGAGGAATATTCCAGACTTCATTCTTGAACCCTTAGTCCAAGACGGGAATGACCTGGATGCCTTTCATTGTGTGTGTGAGATGGATCCACATTCATGAGACATGGTTATAAATATTTGCCATATATAGGCCAGTGGGGCACTGGTGAAGGTTAGTGCTTTCTGAGTACTTTTTCAGATTTTACATTTGCATATTTTGTTAAATACACAATTTTACATTTGTGTTCAGAAGCCTTTGATGCAGTTGGTAAAGACAAGCCCAGAGTTCATTCTGAATGACAGTAATAATTTTTAGTGTTTGTAGTTTTGACTCCTTAACTGTTGCTGTAACTGATGACAGGAGGCCAGTGAGTGGCTGTCTCTACCTGCTTGCTCCAAATGAGGTTTTTATGCTGAAAGGACAACATTTTCCCTGGGACATGGTTTGGTGTGTGGAATGCTTATGCTTTTAATTTGTGATTTGCAAACACTGTGTTTTCTGTTTTCTGTCTCTTCCCGCTCTCGCCCTCCCTTGATTATTCTCTTACTTCTTTTTTCCTGTTGGTTGTTTGTCCTCCTCCTCCACTTTCTTGTTTCCAGACATTTTTCTTGTTCTTTCCTTCCTTCTTTCTCTCCCTCCCTCCATCCTTCTGTGGCTGTGGGAGGAGAAATGAATTTTCTCATACAGCCAAAACACATTAAATGCATTATTCTGTGTCACTGGGGAGAACTCTAGCCTTTACAGGTAACTCACTGTTACACGCAGCCTCTTTATTTCATTACGACACCCAGTTTAGTCACGACAGGTCCCCAGGCTGTACACAAGACCTATTTCAACACCAATATGCCCAGCTATTTAAAATGCTTAAGGGAAGAGGCAGCATTCTGGACTTGAGCCAGTGACAAGCAGAGAAAGATGATGTATTTTATGGCTATCAGCTATCAGCAGTGTCATTCATGTGCTAATTGAAGGAAATTATCAAAGGTTCTTGATTACACAGATGGTTGCATGTAAGTTGTATTGTACAGCACGCCATCTAACCTGTGTACTGTGATATACTGGTCAAAATATTTGTGAACCTTTCACAGGTCATCAGTGCTAGAATATAATGAATTAAAAATCTTTTGAGCTACATCTTTTTTTATGTTTGGATAGTAGCTCAAAAGATTTCTAGCTCAACACTATGACTTACTTCCTCAGCCTTCCTAGTTTTTGCATCTTTTTGGCCTGAAAAAAGACTATTTTCTTTTGGAAACCAGGTTTGAAAAGCAGGGGTCAGCTTAAAATTGATTACTATTACATGTTCATAACACTGCTCTGTATTCTTTTTGGGTAGTGTGCCACTGTAGCACGGTCTTCTGCAGACGGTGTTGTGTTGTGGGTGCTAAAAGGGTGCTGATATAAATTTCCCATTACATGGGTTCTTTATAGCCTTCATGTTGCTAAGCTAATGAGTGTTTTCAAGTCTGTTTTAGTGTGTTTCAGACTTGCAGGAGTTTCTTAATGCTCAGCCACAACATGACTTTAGAAGAGCAATCAAGTCTTTCAGCCAACCACATTATATTTTGATGAAGAATGCCTATTGTCACATCAGACATATAAAAACAATAGAGGACAGTGGCTTTTCAAAAGGTTTAAAGTATGCATAAGTCCAGTATTTTCACCTAACATAAAGATAACCATACAAAATATCTTGCATTTTGCAGCAATATGCACACATACTTTTGGACATATGCTTCCCCAGACACTGCCACTTAAATTTCTCTATGACTGACTTGTTTGGAAAAGTGCACAGAAAAGTCAAACGCCATTAGCATAGCATTGCCATCAGCAGAAATGAGACAGCCATGTGAAATTCTGTGTGTTATGAGGAATATCAGGAGTCTCCTGTAATAATGTGCAGTAGCCATAGACAAATTAGCCTTAGTCATTAAAATGCAGATGGCCCTTTTGGTGAACGCTTTGTGCCAGTGAGGTTAGTCTGTGATTTGCTGTGCCTGTCAGGGGCTGCTTTGTGAAAACACACACCAGTAGTTTACACATACATGAATGGTGAAGAGAAACTAATAGACCTGTGATCATTCCCCATCAGGCATAACGTTTCAATATTTTGTGATTCATACAGTGTAGTTCATCTAGTGTGTGCACAAGCATCAGTCTTCATAATGCACACGCACTGAGATTGAGAGTTGAGAATTACAAAGCATTAGGATTAATAGCAGGGGAGTGTCTTTGTCTAAAGTAAATCCCCTCATATTTGGAAAAGGAGATAAAGAACCTGGGGAAATTAATGTGCATTTGCAGTTCTTGAAGTCATCACCAGTAGGATGGCATTGCTGTGATCTGTCTGCTTTACTAGTTTAAAGTCAGCATAAAGACAGAAAGATTCACATCTGTCAGTATGATCTGATTAGAATTAGGTTTGCATTGTACGGTTCAGAAACTCAAGTCAATAAGTTGAGTTCTACATTCATCAACAAAAAAAAATCAGTGGTCCCTTCTCCAAGCTGCCTACACAATAAATAAGCGCTGTTCTCCCAAACCCTACAGTTTAATGTATTTTCCCACATGCTGCATTGATCAAAGACAAAAGTAGGTAAGTGGGTCAAGGAGCAAGAGACAGCTGGTGGACAAGAGACGGCCAGATGAGGATGTGGAAGGTTAAGTGAACAGAGAAGAAGTTAGACTGGGGAATAAGCTTAA